CATGAATATGCCAAAGACCTTTTCACTTTACTGCTTCATCAGGAACACTTAGGATTACTAATGGCTCCTTGGTGGCTGAACACGAAGCCACCTATTAATCTTTCAATCAGTGGTTGTAATGCCAACAAGAGTGTATATCCTTTGTTTCCACCTAATAAGGTCCTTCATGGTGATTTGTCCCACAGGCCTCCTCCATCTAGCAGACACCTCCTGGGGAGCCAAAATGCCTTGTGGGAAACAAAGCAGGTGCCTGTAACAGGTCCTGTGCTGCTCTCGCAGTGTAACTGTTCATTAGACACATGGTCCTGCCAACTGCATCTCATGATCTGTTGCAGACCTGTTACCATGTTACCAAAGGCACCATGACTGGAGAAAATCCTGGTTTCACTTCCATAGAGTAAAACTAGCAGTATCAAGGTTTTCAGTATGTGTAAGTAGATCCTTCTGCAGAGGTACTGGCCCCTCAAAGTACTCTTATTGTCTTCTGACTTGATGGTCAGATTTATAGCATATCTGTACTATGTACATATCAAATCATGAAATACACAACTAAGAAGTGTAAAACTCTAGGGCTTTAATATACCCCTTACAAGCATGTATTGACAGTACAGGTTCTTTTAACAGGCCCCCAAAGTCCTGAGTCTTTGTCATGGTCCAGATCTCTAAACCCAAGGTCTTTGCATCATCTTGAACTACCACTAGGGTTTCCAGACTCAGATAGCATAGTAACATCATCAGCAAAATCAAGGTCTGTGACCTAATATTGCCCACTGTTGCTCCATAATGCCTTTTGGTAGTAGCTCTGTCCGATTTCCAATCCATGCAAGTATTGAAAAGTGTGGGTGCAAGAACACAGCCCTGCTTCACTCCTGAAGTCACAGGGAAAAAGCCAGACCTTATTTCCCTGTACATGTGTTCTCCAGCACCATGTCAGTCATCTCGGCAAGTCCCTTTCAATGAAAATTGGGCATATAAATCATGATAGCTAATCTATATACATATGTTATTTTTGCCGCTAGAGAATTGGTTGTTTGATCAGACCTTTTTCTCTATTCTCAGACGATGATAGGTCTACTAGCAAGTATAATGTGTCTCTACGTTTTTGGTTTGTATGTGTAATATACGCCTAACATACAAGCTAGCGTTGAAATCATCTTCCAGAACAACTCGACAGGGTTAGTAAACCCAGTCGAACATTTGAGAGTTTCGGGAAATAGTTATATAGTCTTCATTTATGATATTAGCAGTGAAGTATTGAAGCCTGTCTGAAGTGGAAGAGAGGGATGATGGAGGAAGAAATAAAAGTATGCTAGTCAGCTCTGTCAAAGCACCAGTGAGGAGAGTTGGGGAATGCGTCATACTAAGTAGGAGAAAGAAAATGGGAAAGTGATCACTATAATGAAAGTGGTCTAGAACTGAATAAGTGAATTCTAGAAAGGAGAGCAAAAAGAAAGTTCAAGGCATGAAAAGAATGGGGTATGCATGTCAAAAGTGGGTGGGACAGTTTGAATTTAGGAGAAAAAGGCTAATATTTTGAGAGAAAGTGTTTTAAGGAGCGACCTCAGGAAGTAATAGTGGTCACCCAAAAAAAGTGTAATGACTGTTCCAGAATCCAACTATGAGGAAAGATGACTGCAGTTGCAAAAGGTAGTTTCAATGGCTATAAAGTCAATGGAAAGGCAAGGCATTGACTAGCTGTGGTTTGTAAGGGAGGTATGACATGGTGATTTAGGATGGATAAGAATGGAGGAGCAGGTATAGAGTGGGGCTTGATACAAAATGGTATTTGAAAATTGGTACTGTATGATTTCTTGGGAGACAATGAATGGATGGGTTATAGGAAGATATGTAACAAAGATCATGTCTGTGAGAACGGAAACCTCGAATATTCCACTGCCGAAGAGCCATTATAAAGCAATCAACTGGTAATAAGGATAAAAATAAGTGTTGTTGAAGTAGGAGGAAGAGTTTCCGTGGAATGAGGTAGGGAATCAGGGGAAGGGGGTCTAGTATCAGGAGGAATAATTGGGAATGAAATGGGGTCAGTATATGTAGGTGGTGCCCTACCTTTTTCATTCTGTGTCCCTTGACGAATATGTTTTAATTCCCAAAGCCCCGTTCAGTAACTGTCATCTCTCCAGATATAGTTATTACTTGTCATGAAGAGTATAATGATACCAATAGCTATAGAACAAGAACACCTTATGAAAAGATTCCTATTCATTGAGCTGTGACTGATAACTATATGTAGGTACTGTAGGTAAGAGAAATTTTTCATATTACTCCATGACCCCTGGGAAGTACCACTTGCCCCCAGATTGAGAACCCCTGGTGTTGGGAGGAAGTGGGGGAAGAGGGGTAGGGGATATGAGGAGGAGGAGGAGGATGCATCTCAGCAGTCACTTTGAATGTAGAGGGAAAATGAGATTTAAAGGGGATGAGATATAGGAGTGTTCTCTTGGGTCATGTTTAGGAATTTTGGGTGTTGGGTGGAGAGATCTGGAAACAAAGGTTTTCTTATGATAAGGGGAAGAGGAAATAGGCATGTAAGAAGTAGAAGATGTAGGTGTAGAAGAGGATGTATTAAACGATGGGGTGGACCATTCAGATTGGTGCAGTAGGTAAAGCGAGGAGTCTGAGGGTCAGGCACCGGGAAAGTAGAGGAGATTGGAGTATCTGAATTTAGAATATTCAAGGAATTTGATTGGGTGATAAAAGTAGAGCTGTGAAGTTGGTGAGCTGGGGTAAAAGATAATGGGGAAGATGGGAGAAGAGTGGAGTATTCGATAGCAGTGGAGCAGGGAGTGATAGAAAAGCCTTGTAAACATGCTTCCTGTTTGGCCTCTCATAGAGGGATGCCAAGTGTGTATGAGAACTGCTACCTTTGACTCAAACATGTAGGTAGAGCAGCTCCGATAAATACATTGTTTACAGACGGTAATCTAAGCAATGTTGATGTGGGACTTGTGGTGGCTAGGGTGAATAATATAGCACTGTACTGATACTGTATTACAATCTACGAAGCAGGGGAGCTGGTTTTCATAGTCTGACCAATCCTTGTGTCAGGCTGGGCAATCAGCCGAGGAGGTGGAAACAGTTCCAGTACAGTACAAGTATTGAGAAAAAGTGATGTTGGGTAGGAACAGGTTTGCCAGTAAGGTCATCTATCAGGATTGATAGTGCACAGGTTTGGAACTCAAATTTAACTGTGATAAGGCGGATTGCTGCACAAACTTTACCAACTTTTTTTTTCCGGGACATAATTGGAAGAGGTATTGTCAGAGTAAGGATCTGAAATGGGAAATCAGAAAAAATCAACCCCACTTGACTAGGCCAAAAGATTTGTAGACATGGGAATTGGAGAGGTAAGGAGACGGGAGATAGAGGGAATGATTTAGGGAAAAGGGCAATAAGGTTGAAGGGATTATAAGAGAGGAGGTAGAAAAGAAGACATGACTGAGCAGGGCAATTTGAATGATCATGACCAGGTTGGGCACATAAAGGCAGCGGGCTGTGGAGCGGCAATGTTTGGCTGGGTGGCCAAAACACCAACATTTCTGACATTGACAAGGAAGGGGTCAATATTGTTGGAGGTCATGTCTATGGAAGCTAATCTTGCTAATATTGACGTGGGACTTACGCTGGCCTCTATGAGGAATGGTGTAACACTATACTGCCAGTGTATCATATTCAGCAAGGCATGAAAATTGGTAATTTTCACAGTCTAACCAGTCCTTGTTGTAGATACGACAATCATTTGGGGAAATAGAAACAGTTCCATATAAGCTAGTTATTGAAGGGGCAAGCCTTAATGTCCCTATTAAGGGTAAAGAATCTTCATTATTGGCCATGGTGAGCCTGAATAAACTGGATAAAAATGGTCTACCCCTCAGGGTCCCCATAAGGGGTAAGGGCTAGGTAATTAACCAAGGGAATACCAAGCCCATGGCTTCTGGAGGCTGTTCGTGACTGACACAAAGCCAGATTTTAATCCTTTCAGCACAGCTCTCACACCTTAGGAATGGGATAGAAGGGAATAAAGGAGGTATAGAAGAGGATAGGAGAGAAAAAAAAACTACATCTGCTAAGCCTTCCTATAGCCAACCCCTGCAACCTGCAGCACGGCATACTTCCCCCAGGTTGGGTCCAGGTCCACAGCCTGTCCTCTCGCCCTCACCATCAGCAGCTTCTCGACGACGCATACCGAGACCATTGTGACAACGGAAACCTCACGGATTGACCGCAGGCTCCCCTCGTTCCTGGGTGGCTGGCACAGCTCAGACCCACTTAAGCTCCCGCACCCGGGCCGAGTTCAGCACTCACAATACTCCACCTGAGCAAGACACAGCAAGCAGCAAACAGGCCTACCCAGGCCTTAGCCGTCGGGGGAGCCGCCCCGGCTCTCCCCGTCAATCTCCAGCACACCAGCCATACCTGTAGGCACTCACACCCACACCCAAAAGCTCCTTAAAGAGATGATTGACACCAGTCTATGGCGGATGCAAATCCATTGCCATACTCCCACAACAACGAGCAAGGTATTGGGAGGGATTAATCTGCGTAGAGATCCGCAAATGAGTAAATCATGATGGCATCTCCAGGTAAAAGATATATGTACATTTACATTAAACTTGTGCCTTGAGTAAATTTAAGATATTTCAAGACCTGGGGATTGGGAGAATTTTAATCTGTGGGGCTAGTTGATAAAAGGGTAGGTTTCATTGCCCCTGATAAGGGTGCAAAATAAGCCTAGAGTATATTGGAGAGAGAAACAGTCTAAAGGGTCCTCTTGAGGGATAAGGTTTAGGGAATATTGGATGAGTGTTAGGGCTATATGAGAACCAGTATATAGGGTGATATCCTCAGTCTGGGTCCCAGTCTGTCTCTTAAGTCCTCCACAGCAACAATGGATTGGTTTTGGGTGTGGGTATGATGAAAAGAAAGTTAATCCCATATAGGATCTCTCTGTGAAGGTGTAAGAGCTAGACAATTAACCAACGGAATACCAAGCCTATGGCTCCCTAAGGCCACAAACCTTTCATCCATTCAGGATGGCTCTTACACATTGGGAAGTGGACAGAAGGGGATGAAAAAGAGAAGGGAAAGGAAAGGGAGGAGAAAAAAAGACCATGCAAAATTGGTCGAGTTGAGAGCTGAAGCCCAAGGTAGGGGGAAACTATCAACCCATTGGATCCAGATGCTTAACTGCCATCATATAGCCCAATATATAGGTATTAAGCTTACTGGACCAGTTTGTAGGTCCAGAGCAGAACACTTGTGAGCAGTGACCTGTAGACTCCATAACATCACTCAAGGTAGTCCATAACTCAGTGCAGTAATAACACTAAGTAATACTGATAAGTGTAATTTTTTTTTTCATATCATTCAATTTCCTGTAATACACATTGTGCCACCAGTCACAATTAGGATCCTGAGCATGGAAATAGCACCCTCCCTGGAGCTAGCACTCTTCCAGCTCATGGACAGTACTTTCCAGCCATTTATCAAAGGAAATAATGCTAAAGCCACTTCTTAAATGCCAATTGAATCTATTCACCCTCCATCTTTGTGCACACAAGGCAAGTCATTCCCAGCCTCCTGTAAATCGTCTTCATTGTAGGGGTTAAGAAAATAAGATTATTTTCATAAATTCATATAATATAGTATATTTTTCAAACATACACTAAAATTGTTCATACTAAAAGACTTACAAAATATGGTTAATGTAACAAGCAGTTTTTTCTCCATAAAATAAGCTTTCAATAAAATAAAAATATGTAGTGAAGCTACAATTACCATTCATATTTAAGGAAAAAAGTGAATTCCATTGCTGTCAGCTTTGTAGTATAATTCAGCTATGGTTAACATGAAAAATATTGTAAGAATATAAATCATCACAAGAAATACAAAATATGCATTTGGACAGGATTCAATACTATTTACAAAATATATATTAAAGCTACTAGGCAATAACATTTACAGATCAAACTTGTTAGTCACAACATTCTGGAATACGCTAAAAGGGATCACATATAATTACATTTTCTGGATTAAAGTGAATGATTCTTTTTAATACACAATTTTTCATTTTCTGTATAATAAAATAATTTGCTCTGGAGCAATAAGCAATTTTTCATTTTCTGTATAATAAAAAGAAAATAATATAATTTGCACTGGAGCAATAAGACCATGTAATGGATTCCATTAATAAAGGCTTTAAACTGCTGCAACAATTTCTTAGCACTCAGAACATGGATAGCATTGTAAAGAATATGTACTAATATTGGAAATGCAATATGAAAAAGATGTAAAACTATGTACAAAAATAATGTGTTAAAGCTATTATAACATGTAAAGAACATGCATGTGGCACAAACAGCTGCCACAGTTAACATGAAACATACAGAACTCACTTGTCCATGAATCAACTATTTTCAAAATGAACTCCAAAGAGAATTTCAATCCTCACTCAAGCTTTGCCCAACACTAACTTCTAGCTCTCACATACCTATACTTAAGTACTAGTATTATGCACAATAATATCTTAAATGATGAAACCTACTGGACACCATTATGCTCTCATGTTCTTCCCTAATGCTGCTCACAGTTTTCTCAGATGACTTTTGCATGTTTGAAGTTGTACATTATTTGGTACGCAAAAGAGTAAATAAAAAAAGAAAGACAGCTGTCAGGTGTAATCAACTTTACATTCTTTAAAACAGCTCTTATCCATACCACTCTTCAAAGAACAAATAAATGGCTGTGAAAACAAACAAATAATTCAGAAATAAGCACTTTTAAAATGCTCTTTCCACATGGATCCTGTAGTGTTGGCAAAACAGTGTCCTAGTCCTAAGACTCTTTCCACTCATATTCACACACATTTCTTACTCTGATTGTAATCATATATACATACACATATGCACACTGTTTTTTCCTTCTGCTAACAGAAAAAAGAAAAAAAGGAAAGGAGAACAAAAAGAAAACCAAAAGAATGAAGAAGAAAAAAAAGTTTTAGAAAGCTATAATAAAATGGATTTTAACTATGAAAGAAAATGAGTTCTATGCTAAGATGTACCAATTATACATCCATATAGTTTCACATATACAACTACTTCAGAAATGAAACAAAACTTGACATTGCAATAAAACTTGTCCAGAAAAAAAAGAAAAAAAATAATGATAGTAAATATTGGAAATGGTAAAACAAAAAATCCTCAGATTAAGAAGCTAAGTTTGCTCCAACGATTAGGGGTTGTTGCTCTTGGAGTACCAGCTCTTGGAGATTTGAAAGTGGAAGAGGAGGCAGGAGATACCATCCTTGACACAGTTGTACTTCTGGGTGAGTGTCGGCTAGCACGGGGTGCACTAAAGCGAGGAGATCGGCGGGTAGCTACACGTGGTAAAGTCTTCGGAGTTTTGGGCAAGCCTGGCGGAGGGCGGCGGGGTGAAGGACGACAAACCAAGAGTGGAGCCTTGTTAGCCCCATGAACAGTAGAGCTTCGTATATTTTCACGTTCACTGCGGCGCTGAATGCCATCCTGACAAATTAGAGGAAGATTATTAGGTTCCATAACATTAATATCTGGAACATATACATCATTTTAAGAATTGAACAAAGAAATTAAATTCAAATACTCCCACTGACTGGAAGTCTATATGGCAATATACTACCTATGTATGTATGCATGCATATATGAGTGGGTGTACACGCACACGCACGCACACACACACACACACACACACACAACAAAAATACGTGCCATGTCCACTATAATTTAAATTTCTTTACTTTATGTACACATAGATGGCTCTACAAGTGCTTAGTCACTAAGGAGTCAATCATTAGTTCTACTTATTTTGCCTGTTTACCCCTTTGATTTTCAGATTCTTTATTATTTTTACTGCTATTGGTATTCATTAACATTATAACAACCAGAAGGGGGGGGGGGAATATGGGAGAGATAGGGGCCAGACAAGAAAAAAAAAGAAAAAAAAGAAGAAAAAAAAAAGGGAAATCAGGCCTGATCACTAGAGCCAACAAATAGACTCTTTGGTAGCTGAGCCCTTGTAGATCCAGCTGAACAATACAAATTCCAGTGGTGATTGTGTTAAAAAAATGATGGCTTTTTGTGGTTCGGGGATAGCGAAGATAGAGGCTTTGCAGTTCTTAAGGGTTAAATTTTCTGAAATGCCTGTAGGTTCAGGAATCTCTGAATTAGCATTGGAAATATTGGTATACATGCAAGGGTGGTTAAGCTATCCCAAATGAGCCCCCATAATATAGTCCCAATTTGGGGGGGAAAAGAAAAATGATCAAGTATTAAAAAAAAGCAATAAAATCAATTATGAATGCACTATATAATCAGTTAAACTTATGTTAACATATAAATAAGCCTACATCACATATTTTGTTTGCATGTAAGTGTATACCAAGCTAGACTTGCGAAGGGATAGACTGTCAATAACCTATCCCCTTTTGACACTATAGGTCTTTCCTTACTCGCTGGCTCAAAATAGAAACTAATGCACAGTAAATTGCTACATCTGGCCCATCACGTTTAAAAAGGCATTTCTTTCTACACATTAAAATCTGATGATGGTTAACACATTGGATTTGGGTGATGGGGTCATTTGCTCTGAGGCAGGTAGGTGATGGGAATGGGAATTTGACTAAGGGGTGGGCAATGGAAACCTTTGTTATGAAAAAATTAGGTTGAGGAGCAGGTGATGGGGAAAAATCTCTTCATATGAAAATGTTGTCTCCATAAAGGGCACTATATCTAAACATAGGAACGTATTCCTCCCCATTACTAGCAGCGCAGGGAGGAGGGAGGGAAGGAGGGAAGGAGGGAAGGAGGGGGAAGGGAGAGAGGGGAGAGAGGGGGAGAGAGAGGGAGGGAAGGGAGGGAGGGAGGAGAGAGAGAGAGAGAGAGAGAGAGAGAGAGAGAGAGAGAGAGAGAGAGAGAGAGAGAGAGAGAGAGAGAGAGAGAGAGAGAGAGAGAGAGAGAGAGAGGAGAGGAGAGAGAGAGAGAGAGGAGAGAGAGAGAGAGAGAGAGAGAGAGAGAGAGAGAGAGAGAGAGAGAGAGAGAGAGAGAGAGAGAGAGAGAGAGAGAGAAGAGAGAGAGAGAGAGAGAGAGAGAGAGAGAGAGAGAGAGAGAGAGGAGATGAGAGAGAAGAGAGAGAGAGAGAGAGAGAGAGAGAGAGAGAGAGAGAGAGAGAAGAGAGAGAGAGAGAGAGAGAGAGAGAGAGAGAGAGAGAGAGAGAGAGAGACGAGAGAGATAGGAGAGAGAGAGAGAGAAGGAGAGAGAGAGAGAGAGAGAGAGAGGGAGAGAGAAGAGAGAGAGAGAGAGAGAGAGAGAGAGAGAGAGAGAGAGAGAGAGAGAGAGAGAGAGATAGAGAGAGAGAAGAGAAGAGAGAGGAGGAGAGAGAAGAGAGAGAGAGAGGAGAGAGAGGAGGAGGAGAGAGAGAAGAAGAGGAAGAGGAGGAAAGGGAGAGAGAGAGAGGAGAGAGGAGAGGAGAGAGAGAGAGGAGAGATGGAGAGAGAGAGAGAGAGAGAGAGGAGAGGAGAGGAAGAGAGAGGGAAGAGGAGGAGAGGAGGGAAGAGGAGAGGAGAGAGAGAAGAGAGAGATAGGAGAGAGAGAGAGAGAGAGAGGAGAGAGAGAGATAGGAGAGAGAGAGAGAGATAGGAGAGAAGAGAGAGAGAGATTAGGAGAGAGAGAGAGAAAGAGAGCAAAGGATTAGGAAGAGGGAGGCGAGAGAGAGAGAGGTAAGAATCAGGAGGATCGGCATAAGAGAATTAGGCAGTACAATAGGAAGAGAGAAGAGGAAAAAAAGAAGAGAGAGAGAATAGGGAAGAGAGAGAGAAGAGAGAGAGAGAGAGAGAGAGAGAGAAGAGAGATTAGGAGGCGTAGAGGAGAGAGAGAGAGAGAGAGAGAGGAAGTAACGGAGAAGAGAGAGATAGGAGAGAGAGATTGTAGGAGAGA